ATTTTGAAACCACTGTAAATGTTCCAAAATAATTTAACATTGTGAAGAAAAATTTTTCTAAAAGTAAAGTGCCACCATTGTCCAAAGTTCAGGTTTATTTTTTTGATAGATAATATTAATTTGATAGATAACAACAAATACACGCCAGGAAGGATACAAAGTGACTATATCATATATTTTTGTTGCTTATCACATTAATTCCAAATGTGAGTAAAAATGCTTTAGCCTTATATTTATTAATAAAAAAATACGCTTGAAACTTTAAAACTAAAGATTTCGCTGGAGAGTTAAGATGCTTCCTCAAATACTTATGAGAAAAAAGTTCTCAAAGATGCTATAACAGCCTTTTTATTTACAGCTATAGTAAATAAAAAGTAGAGATGTGAGAGGATTATACTTTTAGAAACAGTCGAAAACTTTTCAGTACAGACGTTCTGCAGAGCTGTGAGACAAAAGTTCCGGCTATCAAAGTACCTGTCGATGTGCTGTAAGTTAGAACACTGGCGTGTAGAGATATTAAAGATATCTTAAATATTTTGATAAATTAGTTCTATTTAACCAGACCATCTTTGTGGTTTTCAAAGATTTGGTATCGTACTTTAAAAGGACTCTCGATGTGTTCTAAAGTTATTGGGGTTTCGGTAGCTCTTGTATACTCTTGTTGTTTTTGGCAAATAGTGGATCAATGCAAACTGTCACAGTGTGGAGAGTCTATAGGTTCAAGACTTCTCTGCCGCTTTGTTTATGGTGTGATTTTTATTGAACTTGTATATTGACGGTTTACTTTTGAATACTGCAGGATTTTACTGTCTAGGTTTAGACAAAATAATTGAACTAAATAATTATTACATTCAGAGGCTTCGTTTGATAGACGAAAGGTTATTTTGGGCTACGCCATTGCAGCTTTTTTTTGGAAAAAAATCGTACAATTAGCGATGAGAAAAGTATGGTAAGTGTTCAAATTTGTGCTATACCATAAAGATACTTTGTGTTAGTGTTGAGAACAAAAACTCCTCCGTTTTGTTAATCTTCAAAAAATGGTAAAAATAAAGTCGGCGAAACACAGAACATACGTGGTGGTTGATGAGACGTTAGAACATTACCTTTGCAAAACTCAGCCTTCAGCCGGTTAAGATGGGATATCTTGTACGGCTGCCAATGTTCGAACCCATTGTAAAAGACATTGATCAGCTGAAGATGGAAAAAAATAAGGAATTTTTTTCAAACTCTCTATGTGACTTGGCGGCAAGCTTGGCTTAAGTACGGCCGCTAGCGGTCAGTTGAATATATATTCAAAGACTGACTGTAACAAAAGGAAAAGCTATACAGCAGTCGATGTTTATTTTAAGTGACGCAAACATAATAATAATCAGCTGGAACTCATAAATATTTTGTTAGAACACCACACCCATTACTTAGAGTAATATTTTGTGGTGGAATGTCTAACGCCACCTGACAAATATTAAATTTCGTTCTCAAAATGTCACTTCAAAATTTTTTAACAGGATGTGCTCATTTTTATAATATTTTTGAAGTTAAAAAATAGCATGAATAATATAAGATGAAAATTAATAATGATTTGTGGCACGGATACGCTGAAATTATACACAAATACTTGAAATGTTCGTCTAGCATAGAATTAATTATTTTTATGTCCAAGTAAAGTTAATAGTATACATATGTGGCATATGTGGGTTGCAGGTATTGCAACACCTATTTGAGAGTATCAATACCATAAATTTAGGTCAGCTCTGAGCAATAATTGAAGCGCAATATTTTATTATGTTTTCTAATACTTTGGCCTTTTTTTATTTTTTTATTTTCTGATTTTTTATTTTTTATTTTTTTTTTAATTTTTATGTTTTTTTTTTGCATTTTCCATTGCTATAATGACTTGTTGTGTTTTTCTTTTATTTTAGTTCCAATTTTCAGCTAGCTTCTCTTTGGATTAATAGAGAACATGCGATGCCTCGATATGTTATTTACTTAACTGTATTAAAAAAAGGCCAAATGACAGCAACTCTTGCACGCCTAAAGCTCGCAGCGCTGGGTCGAGGCTCACTGTATACCTATGTAAGTATATTTAGACCGTGTGGCTATAATTAGAATTTGTTTTCAATCACGACAGCATGACGGAAAGACTGAAAGTCTAACGACAAAACGCGCTTTCCACGCTCTTAGACATTTGCGGCTTTTTTATGCCTCAATGCAAGCGCATGCAGCTACATATGTGTGTATATTTATGCGTATGTGTACATATGCATATGTGATAGGCATACTCGTATACTATAGATTTATGGCCATTTTTCCATTTTTCCAGCATAGCTGCCAGTTTTGTCTGTGATACATTTGTTAGCTGCCGCGTGTGGCATGTTGGTAGGTGTCGTGTGGCGTGTTCAACGAGAAATTCCACTTTCCTGCATGCAAGCATGTGTGTAGATTTGTATGTGTGTCTGTCTGTCTGTCTGCATGCTGGTGATGAGCGTCAACTTCATCTAGTTGCATGTTTGGTCGCTTCATTTTCATGCCAATGCTTGCTTTATTTTTAACGCCTGCTTGTTGTTCTTGTTTTGCTTTTTCTTAGCAATTTTTCTTTTCTGTGGCGGCGTACAAGTCAACGATGCTAATGCTGAGCAGCGTTTCATATGGCAATTTTTGAGGTCAGTGTGGCAACGAGTTAAGCGGTAGGCGCGTTGCTGTCGACCCAAGCTGAGTGAGGCATTAGAATTTTGTATGTGTGTGTGTACATATATAGCCATATGTATATAAACATATGTATGTATGTATATGTAATGATTTGTGTGTTGTTGTGCACTCGAATGTGCAAATATAGCGATTTGTCAATGACTTATGACCTCCGCTATGATTGCTGGTGTTGTATGAAATCATTTTCTCTGCTCTTGGCTATTTGTCTTACTAAAATTATTTTTTTTAGTTATGAAATATTTTTTTATTTTCAAGAAATTTTGAAATTTTGAAATATTCTATGTCTATTATTATTTCTTTTTGTTTTTTATATATTTTTTTTGTTTGTCTTACTCAAATAATTGCTGAAAAAACTATATGCTTATGAAATTTTCCATTATTTGTTTTGAGCATTATGTTAAAATATCTTATTTTTATGACTATTTTACTTTCTGTTATTTTTTTTGTTTCTCTTTATGTCTGAACTTTTGTAAAAATTTTGTTTTTTGTGAATTTTTTTTTGGAAAATAAAAATTTTAAATATATGTAGATTTTCAAGAAATTTAAAAATTCGTAATAATTTTTATTATTTTTATTCCTTGAATATTGTTTTCGCTATTTTAAAAATTTTATACAAGAAAGTATTTTTTTCTTATGAAATTTTCAACTATATATTTTTAAGCAATTTTAAAATACAATATTACAATTTTTTTTTTGTATTTCTTTTTTCTTAATTAATTTTTGAGTCTATATGAAATTTTGTTGAAGAAATATTTTTAGTTACGGCTATTTTTGAAGGCTCTTAAAAACTTTTTTTTTTTGTAAAATTTTATGTTATATACATATATATATATATATCGTTCAGATCTATAATAATTCATTATATTTTTAATTTATTTTACTTAGTGTATATTAATTTTTTAATTTTTTTATACTTCTTTTCGAAGAAGATCAGAATTTTGTGCAAGAAGATTTTTTTATAATGAAATTTTCCATAATATATTTTCAAGAAATTTTAAAATGTATTATTGTTATTTATTTTTATTGTTTTTTTAATTTTTGTTTAACAGAAATTTTTGTTGAAAAAATATTTTTAACGGTCAATTTTTATTTATTAGTTTTGAAAACATTTAAAATTTTAGATATTTTTTAATAATTTCAAAATATTTTTATTTCTGTAACTCTATGACTGAAATTTGTAGGAAAATACTTTTTTGTTTTTTTTCCGGAATAGCATAAAGTTTTATATTGTATAATTTTTTGCATAATTCTCTTTTTTATATTCTTATTTAAATTTCTATTTGATGTTATATTTTCATTTTTATTATAATTTTTTTTATTATTATTAGGGCGTCGCTATTTTCACTCTCCAGTTCGCCAGCAAATGATTTAATTTCACTATATTTATTATTAAATAATCTTCAGTCAACCTTTTAGTACTCTTCATTTCATTAGTTTTTTCGTGTCTTCAAGCTTCAAGCAAAAAGCGAAAACATTACTTTTGAAAGCTGAAATGTCAGCCGCAGGCCATAGATTCGTAAATTTGAAAGCCGTGCCAGGCGAAGATCAATCAATTTCGTACGCAAAAAACCAGTTAATAAAATATTAATAGCCAAAAAGAGCCGCACACTAATAGTTAAAATAAAATATAAAGGCCAAAATAAAAAACAATAAAAAAAAAGAACAACAACAACCCTATAGTGCTCATCGGCAACATCTTAAGCGGCGGTGCAAAGGTGAGGCTATCTCAGTTTGAGGCTAAGCGCTGAGCCGTTAATAGCGAGACACGACCAATCATATCAACTTGGCCCGTTGCGACGAAACAATTCATTTTCGTAATACCGTGCAATGAATGAATTTGCGAATAATTGCCAATTGACGGTAAAGACTCACTCAAGTCAAGTCCAAGCGCGTCACGACCAAGCCGCTTTGCCGTTGAACCCTGTGTTGGTCGGTTGCGATTATTATGCAGGCACTTCCTGTTGCTAGCACGGCATTGAAAGCTTTCTACTTGCGGCCATTGTTGACCTTCAGATGAGTGCGCCGCTGCACGTATCTATCTGATCAAAATAATAATTAAAACGCACGAAGAGAGGCAAGCTAGAGCAGCTATAAGTGTTACCAATTAGAATAACAAATTTATATATGCATTCATGAAGACGATGTTTTAATTGCGTAACATTGACTTGATATTGAAGCAGATTCTCGAAATTTTAGTGATACCCTACCCTAATGTGCAAAAACTATTTTTCTGCTTCATGAATATGGAAAATAATAAAATCTTTTTAATAAACAATTATATAATTTTTGCTTACCTTTATTTACAGTACAGTTATTTAGTTCGCTTTGATCTGGAAAGAAATGTGAGAGTGGTTAAAATTTGAAAAGTAAAAAAAGTTTGCTTATTTATTACATATTGTTTTTAAGTGATATATATAAATATGCTATTGAATAAATAAGAAAGTCGCTATAAATATAATTTGAAAACGTTCTACCACTACTCTTTTAAATCGAGCATTTAATCAAATATTATTATTAGTCCTTTCCTGAAACTTACGCTAGAGGGTGCTGTGGTAAAGCTTTTGGTACTTTTCATGGATAATGGTTTGAAAAATATTATTTTGTACTGTTTTAAGACCGAAAATTATATTCTTGGAATCGGATATCAGATACAGCGACTAACTTTTATAAAACCTGGATCTTAACTTAAAACTTAAACTTAATTTCAATACTGTTTTCCCAGAAAAATAACGAAAAATTTCAAATAGTGTTTAAAGGACTTTCTAACGTCAAAAATTAAATGTCTGTTAACGTTTTTTTTTATGGAATTGATGACCAATTAGCAGTTGTATGATGGTTGACTCTGGGGCAGTCATTAAAGGACGCCACCGTCGAATATATTTCCTTCCAATTTTTACGCTCGAACAAAATTGTAGTTTTTTCTGTTATATAAATTTTCACATCAGCCGAAGTACGCATAAACAAGTCTCGAATAATTTTTCTACATTTTGTTGAACAATTTTATTCAAATTTCAAGGGAAATACTTAAGAATTGAGCGAGCTATGTTTCCAGCTGAGTCAAATAATGTAGTTCAGAGAAAAATGTTTTATGGACCATGTGTGGATAGTACGAGGTTTTTTGGTAGCTTTTAAGTTCATACTTCTTTCCATACCGAGTCACATTCCGAGAAAAAATTAATTCTTTTACTATAAAGTAGAGTTGCCAATATGGCGTTTTTTAACCAAATGCTATTTTCAGAGTGAGTTCACTTTGACTTTGGTAATCTTGTCAGAATTTTTGTATCTTACTCTTAAAGTCAATGTCTTACAACTATAGCAAAGAGAGAAATCTTTAGCAATGATAAATCTCTTTAAGAATGCCTGTGCATCCAGAGAGCATTGAATATTCTTTGGGTGATTGGCAACATTGTCACAAAACTTTCACAAAAATGTGCCTACCAACTATTAAAATGAGCGATATTGCCACATTATACGATGTGTAAAGTTCGGTTGTTATGCAATCACTACTTCCGGTTGGGTGTATCTAATGGCCATTTTTCAGCTTCAATTATTTATGCTGTTGCTTTAAAGAGAGATTGTAGTTTCAAAATAACATAACAAAATTTTAAATCGATATCTCGAAGAGTTTTTGAGTTACGGCCTTCCAAATTGTAGCAGCTCAGTTTAAAGTCTCTATCAATTTATTTTTAAACACGTTTTTCTTAAAACTACATTTTTTAAAATTTTTTCGAAGATTGATTATTCAAATATTATAAACTTTTTTCTGCATATTCTTTATATTCTCTATATAATTATACTGATATGATCAAAAATCGAGTTTTGGCTGGCCAAAACCCAGAAAAATTCAATTACTTTCTTTCTTAAAAAATACCGCCATTATGTAATTTTTTTCTTGTTTCGACCGTTGGTTATAGAATGAACAATATTTTATAGTAAAGACATTTTTTTGGTACGTTTCAGCCGCGATAAAGGCTGCATTGCAGTGATTGGAGGATCTTTCTTTTAGCGCCATTAGAAATCGCGTCTAACTCGAAAAATATTTATTTCTTTTCTTCAGAAATTTTACTGTGTGTTTTTAAAATATGTATAAATATACCCTTAACATAAATTCGGTTTATAAAATTGTTGAGAGAAGAAAAGAAATTAAATTAAATAAAATTGTACTCGATTATATTATAAAGAACGAATAATTATTTGAGATCTCATCCTAAACCGCTTTAAAGTCTAAATATTTTTATTTTAATGCAGCTTTATATTGTCATAATCCGCTTCATTTGCAACCTTGTCGTATTTACAACAAAATATATCTATTCAGACTTTCAGTTATGCGAACCTGGTTTCTTGGCATAGAAAAATTGCATTCACTACACTTGATTACAATGATTCAATAAGTAATTAATTAAAGCTCCAATGAATCTGTGGCAAAAGTTAGCCTTACCTATGCGCAACAAATGTACGAATAATATAATTGCCTATAAACTGCGTTGCCAGACTACGGTCAGCTTACGAACACATACACACACATATGTTCATTAAGCAAAATAATTAGTCAATAAAATGCCGACTGAGCAATTATATATGCGCAGCGTGAGAATTACCTTAATCATTTGGAACGCTGTGAGCCGCCATTTCTGACTCATCGGAAAACAACAACCAACTGGTTTAGTTGCATAAACACAGGGTGCAAAATACAGAAATGGGCAGAATAGACCGTCTAAAAGGGTATTAGGTGCAAATTCATATATAAATATTATACTCGTATAAGTTTGTATTAATGTATGTATGCATGTATGTATATGTGTACACACTTTGTATTTGCATGTGTAAAATGCTGATTTGTTGTTAATTTTTTTGTATTTTTGTAATAGCCACTCGGTGCGGTTCATTTATATAAATTCTAAAGTCCGTCATAAAACTCCGCTTGTTAGGATGCTAATTACAATCCGGTGTAATAAAGTTAATGACTTTCAAGTAGAATTGCTCTTGCGTAAAAACATGTACGAACACATTTTTCTGTATGTATGTGTTTGCACATAAATTGCTAATTGGAAAAAATATCGAAGCGCAAACTGGTCTTCGACGTGTCAAGAAAGCGTCGACTACTATTACCAGACATCGAAAATGTTGTGGATTTCATTAATCAATGAAAATCAGTAAAAGACCAGCTATAAAATCAATCAATACACATAAAGGGCTAAATTTTGATGGTCTCTGTGGATTGGCCTAGATAGCAAGCGCTCCAAATTTGAAAGACGAACCAGAAGTTATCCTTAGAAATGCGCAATTACGCTAGCTAACGGCTTACTTTATCAACTGATTTATTAGATAATGTACCGACACGGTATTTTGAGCGAAACATTTGTGCGAAATCATCGCTACACCAACCGACATCGAACAGTTAACAGAAAACGTAACAATATACTACATTTTACAAACTGATGTTCCATTCAAACAAAAAAAACCGTTAACTTCGGCTGCATCGAACCAATAATACCCTTCACATATGCATTACTTTTAGCATTGAAGGATATAATTTAATATTTATTGGTATTTTGGTCAGTTTCAGCTATATGCTATAGTGCTTCGATCTGAAAAATATGGTTGGAGATTTTAGCGTTGCTTTGGGCAATAAAGTATGCCACATTTTTGAAGATATCTTGTTAAAAAAATTTGCAAAATGCAAGAACTCAAATTAACAACATCTTATGCAGAAAATAACTTGCGCTAAATTTCAGATCGATAGCCCAAAAACTACTACGACAAGTTCGCGTATGAACAGACAGATGGACAGATGGTCAGACGGACAACGCTCAATCGACTCAGCTCGTCATGCTGATCATTTAAATATATATTTTTATAGGACTTCCAACGTTTCCTTTTTTAACTGATAATGTCATTAAATTTGACATTGTTTTTATAATTTTGACATTTGACATTGCTTTTATAATTTTGTCAATTTTACTGACATTTTCAGTCAAAAGAATGGAAACGGTGCTTAGATTCTTCTCATAGTACTTTATAACTATATTTTTTTCGTAACAAATTGCGAAACTAGGGAAAAAGTCAAATTTGTGATTGTTTATGAGGTTAGAGTGAAATGTCATTACAATTTAGGTTGACAACTTGTTGTCATTTTTATAATTTCTTATATGCTATGTAGGAAAAATATATAATATATAAGTATAATATGTATTATATATATATGTATTCAAGTATTCGTGTATTTTTTAGCAATGTCAATTTTCGTAATTTATTCAGCATACTATTGTCGGTTAAGCTGATGTGGTTGTCATCAATTTTGATATACTGAGTACGCCCATTAGATGTTTTCATTTTTTGCAGAGACTGTAATTTATAAATATTTATCGGAATAGACACAAGTTAGAAAAACTGGTTTAAGCATCATTTCGAATATTTAATTAAACTCATGTAACTTTTTATTATTATATTAATTTTTTTTTGTCATAATTAGTGTTCAAAAAAAAAAAAAAAACAAGAAATTGAAAATAAGCACACAAAATAATAAATTGTGTTTTGTAAAATAATATTTGTCATATTTTTCTTTTTTTGTTAACGATTTTCTCATTTATTACTTTCTAACAACTTTTCAGCTCTCACATGTACACACTTCTGAAAAATTGCTTTATGCTTTTGAACAAATTTCCATTACCTACAAGCTCTATGATCAGCCTTAAACACCGCAAGACATAAGCATAATTAAATGGTGTGATAATGACTAGATTAGAGGCGTAAATTATTTATATTCTTAAAATAAAACTTGTATGAAAAACATTTTAGTTACGCCTTAATATATAATTAAAAGCATATATCTAGCAACTTGACCCTAAAACACGCAATTTGTTTGCTAGCGTAAATATGTAGGTATACTCAAATTCGTAGACCAGCATGTGAGAACATTTGTGAAGCGAGTGGTATGGGAGAAGATATTATTAAGTTGGCAACGGAAGTTTGCTTAAAAATAGATACATATGAAGAATTTAAAAAAATAAATTGAATAATATTTTAAAAAGAAATATTTTTGCTGCCTTGAGGCAGAACACACACAATTTATAGTTTCTAAAAAAAAATTTTAATTATTATTAATTAACCATAATTTACTACGAACTCTTTACGCTAACGGTGCATCATTCTATTTTATTTGCTTCTACAATTATATTATATTACTATTATAGATTTATTATATATAGAAGGAGTTTAAATCTTATTTTTAGTAATAGCAACAGCCTTCAAAGTTATGTATTACCTTGAGGACAAATATCTTTTTGAGGAGCAACAGTAATTACTTAGCTATTATCGACTTTTCCATACC